AAATAAATAAATAAATAAATACATCAGCAAATAAAATGGTTAGAAATCATGTTAGTGCCCTGCTATACAGGGTACTGAGATAGGAAATAGCAACAGAGACCTACTTTAAATAAGGGTGTCGGGGTAGTGTCGACACCCTTTAAATAAGGGTGTCAGACTTTTAAGCTGGGACTTTAGGATGAGGAAGAGTAGCCACAGGAGGGAAGGGGGTGGGAGGGTGTTGCAGTGCTCTTGGTAGAAGAGGGATCAACCTACCAAGTCCCTGAGGCTGGAAAGAGCTGGTCCTAGTACTAAAACTGAAAGAACGCCTTTGCGGCTCATACTGGCTGAAGGGAAATGTGCCATAACTGAAGGTGAAGTAGTAGTCCTGCCTTGTCCCACCCCCCACCCAAAAAAAGTAGATGTGAAACCATAGAAAGGCTCAGTCAAACATGGGAATGTCACCCATCGGGCATATTAGATCACAGTGGTGTTTCTGGTGACATCACCTTGTCTGCTAATCTGCTTCTCTCTTATTTACCTCTTTTCCCCACCCCATAGTGCTTTTATGCTTTTTGCAAAAGTAATGAAGAAAGAGTTAGCAAAGCTAGTGGTCATTACTTTCTAAAGTTGAAAACTTAGGAAAATGGATATTGACGTACTGGTTCATCCATTCAGAAACCACTAACCTTAGGCTGGGCATGCTGGCTTGCACCTGTAATCCTAGCACTCTGGAGGCCAAGGCAGGTGGATTGCCTGAGCTCACGAGTTCGAGACCAGCCTAAGCAAGAGCGAGACCCCAGCTCTAAAACTAGCCCAGCATTGTGGCAGGTGCCTGTAGTCCTACCTATTCCAGAGGCTGGGGCAAGAGGATTGCTTGAGCCTGAGAGACTGAGGTTGCTGTAAGCGATCATGTCACAGTACTCTACCTAGGGCAACAAAGTGAGACTCTGCCTAACAAAAGAAAGAAAGAAAGAAACTACCCTCTAACCTTAAAGTTGGGTATGTCCCAGTTGTATTAGTAGCTATGTATTGATTGCCCATTACTAAATACATTTGAACTCTTAAAAAATCAATTTGTTGGCTTGGCACCTGTGGCTCAAGTGGCTAAGGCACCAGTCACATACACCTGAACTGACAACGGGTTTGAATCCAGCCCAGGCCTGTCAAACAACAATGATGGTTGCAACCAAAAAATAGCCGGGCATTGTGGTGGGCACCTGTAGTCCCAGCTACTTGGGAAGTGGAGACAGGAGAATCGCTTGAGCCCAGGAGTCAGAGGTTGCTGTGAGCTATGATGCTACAACACTCTACCCAGGGTGACAGCTTAAGGCTCTTCTCAGAAAAAAAAAAAAAGGGCAGTGCTTGTGGCTCAGTGGGTAGGGTGCTGGCCCATATACCAAGGGTGGTGGGTTCAAACCAGGCCCCGGCCAAATTGCAACAAAAAATAGCCATGCGTTATGGTAGGTGCCTGTAGTCCCAGCTACTCCGGAGGCTGAGGCAGGAGAATCGCCTAAGCCCAGGAGTTGGAGGTTACTGTGACCTGTGACGCCATGGCATTCTACCAAGGGCGATAAAGTGAGACTGTCTCTA